ATGTGCTTTTGCTTGTGAAAGTGAGTTTGTGGTAGTGGTAAAGAATCGCCAACTAGCTACGCAACCACACTGAGAAAATCTAAGCTGTCATTCTTCATATTGATATCATCTGCCATCCAAACAGAGGCCAGGCACCCTACTCAAGCTAAGGTCACTGGCAACATTCACAAAGGCCGAATTGCTGTGAATATGTCAGGATGGTTGCACTTGACACACTTGTCCTCTTTTTTTGCCAATCCTACTTGTTCAGTGTTTATGATATTCTGTTCTTGGGCTAAAGAGATTCATGGGTTACAAGAAGTTATTAAGCATTTGATGCAAGTTCATTTATATCCAACTAAAATGATAATTAATTTAGTTGGATGTGAGTGAACTTGAGGTTAAATTATTTTAGATTCTCCTTTCACTCTTATCTGTACTGTAGATTGAATCCAGTATATGGTTAACTAAATTGCTTGAAAGATTTTTATCAGAAGGTTCACTATATTGCATATAATTATATGTCACCATTATAGCAACATCTGAGTATTCTTGTTTTTCGATGCTTTAGATATCAATAAATGGATTGGTTAACCTCTCTTTTTTCTCTCCCCATCAGGCTAAGCAATGTGAGTAGGGTTTTCTAACAACAAATGTGGTTGGGTGAAGCAAGCTTGAACTTGGACATCATGTTATGTAATGTGAATATGTGGTTTGAATATGTAATTCATATGCATTTCTGCATGCTGTCAGTCAACGAGTTTGTTTGCTAAGTAGAAAATTACAGTCTTGTGTGGGGTAGCCAGGAACTAAATGAAATAGGGATTAAATTCCTATCCCACTGAGAAAATAAATTAGTTCTGAAAAGAACATTACTTTCGTAATGCAATATTCATTGGGCTTACTTATATCTTGTTTTCAGCCTCATTCTTCTTCCTAATAAGATTTATCCTAATATTTTTTTCACTTTGTTTCCTAGTTTCCTGCGAATGAACAGAACCTATTACGTGATGGTAAGCATCCGTATTCCTGTGATATGTGTCATAAATCATTCACTTGTCAAACTACACTGAAGAATCATCAACACATTCACAATGAGGACCGTCCATATTCCTGTATTGTGTGTAATAAGTCATTCACGAGTAAAGGTAGTTTGAAGATACATCACCGTGTACATAGTGGAGAGCGTCCATATTCCTGTGATTTGTGTAATGGGTCATTTAGTCATATGAGTATTCTTAAGAATCATCTACACATGCACAGTGGGGAGCGGCCATATTTATGTGATGTATGTAACAAAACATTCACTCGACAGAGTAATCTGAAGAGACATCAGGTTATGCACAGTGGAGAAAGGCAATATTCGTGTGGTGTGTGTAAGAAGTCATTTTTTGAGAACAGCACTTTGAAGAAACATCTACGCATCCACAGTGGGGAGCGGCCCTATACCTGTGATCTATGTAACAAAACATTCACTCTACAGTGTAATCTGAAGGAACATCAGCGTACACACAGTTCAGAAAGGCCATTTACCTGTGATGTATGTAACAAAACATTCACTCTACAAGGTAATCTGAAGAAACATCATTATAAGCACAGTGGAGAAAGGCCATATTCCTGTGGTGTGTGTAAAAAGTCATTTTTTGAGAAGGGCGCTTTGAAGGAACATCTATGCCTGCACAGTGGGGAGCGGCCCTATACCTGTGATGTATGTAACAAAACATTCACTTTCCAGAGTAATCTGAAGAGACATCAGCATTTGCACAATGGAGAAAGGCCATTTTCCTGTGATGTCTAATAAGTCACTCAGTGTTCAGAGTAATCTAAAGGAACATCAGCATATGCACAGTGGAGAAAGTCCATATTCCTGTGATTTGTGTAATGGGTCATTTGGTCGGAGGAGTGATCTTAACATACATCTATGCATCCACAGTGGGGAGCTGCCATATTTCTGTGATGTCTGTAAAAAATTGTCAGTGGAACGACGGTTCCGGAGAATTTGACGTAAATACGTCTATACGGAAAGGAAGTTTATATATTGGCTTTATTCTAAATATTTCCTTTATACCCGCTTTACAATTGAGATAAGTTTGATTAAGACTTTGCTTATTTAACTTGAATTAGTTACGCTTAAGATGGGTCTGTGGTAGCGTAATGTAATGTAACGTTTTATAGGTAACAATGCCAAGTAAACAGATGATGTTTCCTAGGTAACCATTGTTGTCAATTTTTTGATAAACAGATGACGTTTCCTAGGTAACCATCTTACGCATTTTCATGACACTTTTTTGCAGAATGACCCTTCCGTATAGACGTATTTACGTCAAAATCTTTCGTTCAGAAGGGTGTTTTGAAGACAAATCAACTTATACATGGTAGACAGCAGCCACATTTATGTAATGTATATCATAAATGATTCCTTTGCCAGCGTGATCTCATTAATGACTAATCTGTATTTCAGTGATATTAAATGTATTCGTTAATAGAATAATCTGATTTGTCAATATTTGTGTAGGGTATGCATATTCTTGTGATGTAACTCTTCGTATTATTAGAAGAGAATTTGCTTGATACAGGAATATTATCTGGGATGGGTTAGTAATTGTGCATTTGAGGCAAAGGACAGTCACATTCTTGTGTAATAAAATGACGAGCGTCTCATGATGTATGACATGAATGTTCTCGGCCACTAAATGTAATAAATTCTTTTCGCATCTCGTGTTGTGTTATCTGTATAACATTCATTCTTCAAAGAAGCAAAACAGTGACAGTGACTTATTTTTGGTTTAACAATTTTATTCAGTCTATTTCTTCCAAAACATTTTATAATTGTTTCATTTGTATGGGGAATGTTATATGATTTTAAGATGTGGTAAGCATTTCGTTATTTTCAGTTGCATTTATTGCTGATAGTTCAAAATAATCATTGTAACCTTCAGGTTACTTGCAGGTCAAACAGGAGTGTAGGTTAGAATGGCTTTATTTTCAATAGCCGACCATCTGAATGCTGTGCTTCAAAATGTCTTAATCAGATCTAAGTGACTGGTATATATGCTTTCAGATGCAGTAAATTTTTTGTGTTTTGTCAAAGACATTTCTACATATTGGCAGGTGTATTTATTGTTGTTTCCATGTATATTACATTTGCTGCTAATCTAATCACTATTTGTTATCATAGGATAATATACTGTGGCGTAAGTTGGTTCTTATGCCATTTATTGTCAATCCTTGCTTTTTGGAGTCTACTGCTTTGAATATGATCCGACAAACACTTTTACATGTGGATCCACACACTAATCACACGCTCAACGCTTCGCGGTCTTGACGCCCTCCAACTTACTCTCTGCATGTTACTTCACCACTTGGCCGCACCCAGGATTGCAACTTTGTTTATATCCCCCTCCCAAGATGTTGAAAGATTCAGACCAGGCAGCCTGGAAGTCAGGCAGCCCCTCCCCTCCAGCGTGAGACCCGGCACCCACGGCGACGCATAACACTACCCCCTCCTTAAAGCTGCTCGTCCCGAGCAGCACCCAAGTACGGCGCCAACCTGTCCAGGTGTACTACCATCATCCGGGCCCAGGTATGCCGCTGAATCCGGTAAACCACGTCGTTGATTCTGGTCACCACCTTGTAGGGACTTTCTCTGTATTTGGCCTGCCTTGTTATGGGCTTTACATTGATAGCTTTATCCCTGTGCCCTTCTTTGCTTGGTTAGAAACCCCTGTGCTTCTACACTCTCTCTTCAGATCACCCAGGCCTTGGATGAATTGGGGCTGCTCCAAAGGGTTTGGTTACCCACAGGACTAGGCTACTTCTGGGGATCACATCCACTGGAAACATCACCAAATAATACCCGTTATGAAGATTACAGTCTTCAATTGGCACATTCATCGCCCTGATGACAGAGACAGTATGACCTCTGAAACGTTGGTGGAACTCTACCGTACTACATGACGCAACAACCCTGAAGACAGCAATCTTCAGGCTCACCGCTGTGAAAACATCAAATCCTAAATACCCACTGTGCCTGCACCAAGCTGGGCTTTTAACACCTAGGCCTTTCCCAAGTATGTTTGTTCGCTGCAGTCTGATCACTTTTGCTTGCTTTCCCAGGGGCTTTGCCCTCTAGACTCCTCTGTGAGGCTTTTGAAATTCACTGCTTTGTTTCACAACTGGGTCTGCCCACTCAACAGAGAGCTAGGCCACCACCTCAAGGGCCCTCCATTCCCTTCAATAAATCCCAGGGATTTACTCCCTACAATCAGAAAGGCCTCGGAACAACCAGGACAGCTTTCAATCCTCCCATATCATCTGATTATGAAATTGTTTTGCATAAGATAGGATAGGATAGTTTGTATCTTTCTGTAAATTATGCATTGAAATTTGGGTTTTAATATTAAATATATATTTCCAGTTTCTTTTCTTTGTTAAGATTTTGATAGTTGTAAGCAAGGAAATGTGTACATATATTGTCAGTTTGCTGAAGTCCACAGTGATCCTAAAGGATGTGTACCCTGTTTTGTGCACGAGAGAGCACGTTCATGGGTGGTAATTGTCTGGTGTCTTACAGAACTGTGTTGATTTACTGAAAGTAGAACCTAGTTCATGCAGTGAGACATGTCTCACATCTCCTCATGATGGAAATGAGGTCATTGATATAAAAGTTGACGATACCACATGTGTATAAGGACAGGAGGTCACTTGCTAAAGAATTTTCCAGCAGTACAGACTGATCATGAGGTGAGTTTTAGTCTGTCTGTAAATTCTTAGATATATAGAATTGTGCATTATCTTCTCGAATGTGATGGGCTTTACCTCGGAGGTGCATAGGACCAGAAGTGGCATTGTTGTCAATTCTCTTAAGAACAGTCGTGATCCTCTTGAGGCGTTGTAGAATCCCAGGGGTTTCAAGCCCAACAAAAGGCCAGTGAGGCTTTGTCCCTGTGAGTTTCTTAAGGGGATAGATCCCCACTGAGGTGGCCCATCTTATGATATACAGACCTGTTTGTGGGCTAGTAACCCGTCATAGTGGAAATCCTGCAAGAGCAAAGCAGTGCAACCTAATATTTTTCTGTTTAACAGAGTCTTCTAAATGAAGGTAATCAGATACATAGTGAGGAGCGTGCATATTCCTATGATGTGTGTAATAAAACATTCAATTGGAGGAGTAATTTGATGGTTCACTGTGATGTATGTAATAAGTCATTTGGTCGGAGAAATCATCTGAAGAGACATGAAAGCACACACAGTAGGGAGCAGCCATATTCTTGTGATGTGTGTAATAAATCATTCAGTCGTAGGGGTCTCCTGAAGAGGCATCTACATGTACATAGTGGTGAGCGACCCTATTCCTGTCATTTATGTAATAAATCATTCAGTCAGAGGGGTCATCTCAAGGTACATCAACGCATACATAGTGGGGAGCGGCCATATTCTTAATATATTAAATGGATTTGATATCTGTTTATCTGCTATTTTTCATGAGTATTCTATAGGATTACATTACTAACTCATTTTGTAAGAATGTGCTAAAAATAAGACCCTAGCCTAGGTTGTGATTTTTATATAAACTAGAGCAGGGCGCTCCTTTCGGAGCTCCTAGGGGTGTGTGTCAAGTTTGTAAACCGCAACCAAACTTGGTTAGTCCCAAAGGGGAGTTAGTTTAGTGTCTCATTCAAGTGTTTTAACCCCTGAGTAAGAAACTAAACTAACCCCCCCCCCACCCCCGCAATGTCTCATTCAAGTGTTTTAACCCCTGAGTAAGAAACTAAACTAACCCCCCCCCCCATGGGGGGTTTAAACACTTGACAAACCCCCCGAAGGGGGTTGGTTGCGTTTAAACATCTTGAGTAAGACAACTACACTAACCCCCGTGTATAAACAAATATAAGGTGATATAGTTGATGACGTCATTTTTTGACGACAACGATGGCTAATCCTTTCGGAGCGCTTCTTGTAATCTGATATTTTACTTCTTTACGTCGCTGTTCAGAGGCCAACAGTTCTGGTTCAGTCAACTTTTTACGTCCAGCCCCACCCCTGCAAATCTTCGTCTTAATATCGATCAAAAGTCAGTTTTCATAATACTTTCGTAATCATAAAGTCAGTTTTCATAACACTTTCTTAATCGTAATATATCGAATGAGTATCACTTTACCTTGTTGGAGTTGTTGGAGTTGGTACTTCAAATACTTGATAACGTCTTCTTTCACTTTTCTGATGTTTTAGGCCAACTGTCAGTCAGTATTCAAGAACGCTAAGTGCTCCTTCTGGAGCAGTGACAATGCGACTGGCTTGATAGTTTTTGTTGTGAATCATTATTTGTTTTCTCGGCATTGTTGTGCAACAATGCCGAGTAAACAAATATCTGTTGGCATTGTTGATGACGTCATTTTTTGACGACAGATTGGTTGACGACAACGACTAATCACAAATTTTTATAGAAGACCAGATTGCCGTCGTTGGCCAGTGATACAATTGCATTGTGCTGGGACCTTTGGTTTCTAGCCATCGTAATTACTAACTTCATGGCAATCTGCTGTATGTACTTCAGGCTCATTAAATTGGTCAGCTACGTGAACGTTTAGTAACTTAGTAAAGTAATCTCTCCATCTGTCTACGATGCCATGTGATTCCGCGAGCAGATCCCCATTCTCGTCCTTGATTAAATGTATCCTAGGTTTGTACCCCTTCTTAAATTCACTTATGCTTCTGTACTTCTCTCTGATGTACATTCACAGTCTATGCCACATTTTCACTTCCCTCCTCCTCTTCTCTCTCTCTCGCTTGCAACTCATTTCTACATCCTGACTCTCCTCAACACACTCTCCAACAAATACAAATACAACAATGTCGAATACAACAATGTCATTAAACAGACACAACAATTATAAACGAATACAATTCCAAAAGCAACAATGTCTATAAATAGACACAACAATGCCGAATACGACAATGCCAAATACAATAATGTTAATAAACAGATAACAATGCCAGACGCGACAATGTCAATAAACAGACAACTAAACTAATCCCCCTTCGGAAGGATTAGTTTATGTCTCATTCAAGTGTTTTAACACTTGAGTAAGAAACTAAACTCCCCCCGAATGGGGGTTAAAACACTTGACTAACTCCCCCTTAGGGGGGGTTATTGCGTTTTAAAATCTTGAGTAAGACACTAAACCAAACCTCCCTTCGGAAGGGTTAGTTTAGGGGGTGAGGGTTAGGTTAGTTTCTTACTCAAGGGTTAAAACACTTGAATGAGACACTAAACTAACCCCCCGAAGGGCAGTTAGTTTAGCGTGTTACTTAAGATTTCAAAACGCAACCAACCCCCACCCCGAATGGTGGTTAAAATACTTGACGAACCCCCCTCCGGGGGGGTTGGTTTAGTGTCTTAACCCTTGAGTAAGAAACTAAACTAACCCTCACCCCCGAATTGGGGGGTTAAAACACTTGACTAACTCCCCCTTCGGGGGGTTGGTTGCGTTTTAAAATCGTGAGTAAGACACTAAACTAACCCTCTTCGGGGGGTTAATTTAGTGTCTTATTTAAGTGTTTTAACCCTTAAAGAGCAGTATGACTTGGATGAATGTTATTATTATTATCAGATTACCTTTTTGGTGTTGGTAACGTCTTCTTTCACTTTTCTTCATTTCTTAAATGGTCTAATGTCGCTGTTCGGAGACGATTTGATGCTTGTAGAGCAGTGGTAATGCGACTGGCTTGGTACTAAGCGTTATTTGCTCAGCGTTATTTGTTTACTCGGCATTGTTGTGGAACAACAATGCCGTGTATAAACAAATATAAGGTGATATTGTTGATGACGTCATTTTTTGACATTAGTTTAGTGTCTCATTCAAGTGTTTTAACCCTTGTATAAGAAACTAAACTATCCCACCCGAATAGGGGGTTAAAACACTTGACCAACCTCCCTTCGGGGATTGCATTTTAAAATCCTTAGTAAGAAACTAAACTACCCTCCCAAATGGGGGTTAAAACACTCGGTTGGTCAAGTGTTTAAAACGCCAACAGTTTTTGTTCAGTCAACTTTTTACGTCCAGCCCCACCCTTGCAAATCTTCGTCTTAATATCGATCATAAAGTCAGTTTTCATAATACTTTCTTAATCGTAATATATCGAATGAGTATCACTTTACCTTGTTGGAGTTGTTGGAGTTGGAACTTCAAATACTTGATAACGTCTTCTTTCACTTTTCTGATGTTTTAGGCCAACTGTCAGTCAATATTCAAGAATGCGAAGTGCTCCTTCTAGAGCAGTGACAATGCGACTGGCTTGATAGTTTTTGATTTCATTGTTGTGAAGCGTTATTTGTTTACTCGGCATTGTTGTGTTCCACAACAATGCCGTGTAAACAAATATTTGTTTACATTGTTGATGACGTCATTTTGACGACATATTGGTTGACGACAACGACTAATCACAAATTTTTATAGTAAGAAAGAAGATTTATCATGTTAATTGTGGATTTTATTGTTTAATCTATAGAAAATGTGCTTATTCCACATTTTAATTGTTGAACATTATGTTGCCAGAATACAAACTAAATTTTACCAAAGTTGCCCACACGACAAAAGATGTTGGGCAGGCTTGTTGTAAAGTGGGAGGCCTGCAGGGAGAAAACCTTTGGGAATACCTAGGTTTAGGTGGGAGGACAGCATTAAGATGGACATTAGCAAGATGGGATTCAGTGGAGTGAACTGAATATACCTATTCTGTTCTGCTTGAAAGTGCAGATTTCAATACATGCTTCAAATTCTCTTCATTTTTTATTCCTTTGTTTTTTGGTTCTCTTCTTATTCTTCTTCTTACCCTGTAAATCTCTTTTGGCATTTGTTACTGCTTTTCTTTCTTCGAGCAGAATTAAAGTAGCTGTTTCTTGTTTGTGGATTAGCTCAGGATAGAGTGAGGTAGCAGGCTTTTGTGAACAGGGTGATGAACCTTTGGGTTACATGAAGAAAGCAGGATATTCTTTTACAAGCCAACTTTTCAAAGAATATCCTGTACCATAGTGAGTGAGTGTTCTAAATTCTCCACTGGCACTTACATGGATCAAGATCTCTGAGATCATGTGAATGCTGCCTTGAGACCTTCACAGACCACTGAACCTTAGACGATGTTTGGCACAGCTGCACTAATTTTAGTAGCAGCTCCTGTTAGCACTGGGTTCACACAGTTCTTGCTAAGACCCGGGAAGAGAGTTGCATTTAATTCTGTCAATGAATGCATTGTAGATTGCTGTCTTCTGTGTAGTATGATAGAATCACGGTGCAACAACCAAGAAGACAGCAATCTTCAGACTCATCGCTGTGAAAACCTCAGATCGAACGCACTGTACTTCATTAGTATGCATGTAGCTTTGCTTATGGCAATGTTCAACATGTATTTAGTTTAAATGCTGCATTACTCTTTTGTACATAGTATTCTCAAAAAAAAAAAAATAGAACTATAATTTTATGTTTGTATTATAATATTTTATATCTTATAATTCATTTAGCTGTGGATTGGTTTCCGGATTAGACTGCAGTACGAGTTTGAATGTAACGTGATCGTAGCCTGTCAGGTAATTTTTAGTCTGCCTTCAAACTGAAGTAAAGAAGCTTTCAGGCGTTACTGCATCATTTATATGACAAACTTTAATAATTAGGTTAACACGTTCGAAGGTACGTTGTATGTATTTGTTATTTATTTAATGACGTCGTGAAAAACTTAATTACGTTGAATAATAAGATGATTAATGAATTGGTAAGTATGTTCAACAACGGTGTTTTAAACGGACAGTTCCATGCACATAATACCAAGTCCAAACCGTGTTCACTGTTCCTCTCTGGTAGCCACGGAACCGAAATGCAGCGGACGGATACGATGTGTTTTAAGTTTTGCAGGTTACGTTACTCATACAATCTTTAGACTGGACAAAGCGAATTCATTTAGTATGTGTCCTCCATTGTTTTTTTAAACCGAATTCATTCGGTTTTCATTCGACGATTAATCCAATCGGCCGTGGAACTGACGTTAGATTGTGTTTAGTACTTGAAAGATGTGATCTATGCAGTTATGTGTTCTATACTTTTTCTTTGGTCATATACTGTGCATCCCAGTGCATAATTTGTTGTACCTGTTGTTTTGGCAGATTTTTGTCATAGTCAGTAGAAAGAACTTTGTTAGAGTTTTACAGTTTTATGTTTAAGTTTCTCTTTCAATGGTTGCGGGTTTTTTAGTTACAGTTGTCGAGGACGATATCTAGGTAAATGTCTTTGATATTTTCAAATATATGTTGTTTTAAATTCCAGTAGAAGGGTGAAATAAAAATGAACACTGCACATAGTACATTAAGGCAAGCATGTGTGAACATTATCGTGTTAGTATGTGTATTACAGAGTTGAGAGCTCCTTTACATTCCATAGCTCCATTTTTGGGCTAAACCAAAGGTTGTAGAACATAAATACAAGTAAAGAACTTGTTTCACATACAGGAATGCATAAACTTAAGAAATTTCAATATAAATACAAAAACTTATTTTACGTATAGATATACACGAAGTTTAAGATTTGTCAACAGTGGTAAAATCATCTGCAGTGTTGGAGTGAGTTAAGAGGTAACCTTTTATGCGGTCTTGAATACTTTTATATCATGATTTAAACTTTTAATTGCAGGTGTAAGATTATTGAATAACCTGATAACCGTGTAGTATACTCTTTTTTGTTATTTAGCGAGGTTGGTATTTGGCAGATGAAGGTCATGTTTACGTCTTTTGTTTAAATTGTGTACATTTGTGTTTCTTTGACATTTTCCCAAGTTTTCCACTACAAATAATTCTAAGGAGAGTATGTATTTACTTGCATGTAGAAGTATAGTAAATTTCCAAAATAATTTTCTGCAGGAGACTGCTTTTATCACTTGCCATTATTCTAATTTTGTTTCTGATGTAAAATACTTTATCACTGCCTCTTGAATTATCCTAGAAGTTAAGGTAAACAAAATAAAATAATTTTAAAGTATCTATTGTCATGAGTGGTAAGACTGTCCTCATGGAAAAAAAACATGCAGTGTTTACTTTGGTATAATATATTTAATGTCAATTTGTTTACCATAGAATCTGTTTGCTTCTACTTCAACTAATTTATTGTCAAAACCTATATTTAAACTAGGATATGTCTTGTTCTTAGTAGCAAATTTGATGTAGTTTGTTTTATCATTACTGAGTGCTAGCTACTTAGTGTTAGATCATTTGTTTAGGTTACTAAAACATCATTCATGATATTTCTAATATAGACCATTTCTGGATGTGTAATAATGATACTTGTATCGTCAGCAAAGAATTAATTTTGGATTGAAAGTTTATAGTTGCAGTTATGAAAACTGTTCTTAGATAAAAACTGGTCATCAGCAATATTCAGAGAATAATTATTTTATTTTATTTCTGAATGTTTGTGAGGAAGGTTAATTATAGCTTCAATATCATGGACCTTATGTTAGACATACAAACTGTTGTTTTTGTATCTTTGTATACGGTAAGCTGATCTTTGTAATCCGTTTTGTTTTAATGAAGATATTGTCAATACTGAGCATTGTGTAGGCATGTTGGAACTTTAAATATTCTACAGCAATCTTAGCATGTCATATTTAATTTTTTTTTCAAGCCTGTATTATTTTTGAAATTTGTTAATATTTACTATTCTTAGCATTCATTACTAATTTGTGACCTTCTTTGGCCATATGATGGGACTGTTCGTAAACTATTGTTCACTATGAAATAAACCCATACCATGAGCTCATCACAGTGGTTGAGAATTTGTGAAGGAGGATAGAATATTTCAGCAACCATTGACTACTGCTGTTATTCATTTATTGAGTGTTTACCACGGTTATTATGTTAATTGTGGTAATTGTGGTGTATATTGATGTAAGTAGGAATCAGCCAAAGTGTCCATATGTGTTAAGATTGTGTTGGGACAGATTAGGTTTAAACAGGTTAAGACATGTTAGTGTCAGTTAAGTTAGGTTATGTCAGGTCCGTAAGGTAAAGACATGTTTTGTTAGGTTATGTTTGTTTAATTGTGGTTAAAGAAGTTTGGATTAGAATAGATGTTTTTATATGATTTTCAACCGTGTGAATTGTGAAATTTTTAAAACTATGGGTGCATACAGATTTTAAAAATTTAGAAGGTTTATACAATTTAAAAATTTGTACTTCTATTTAGCGGGACAAGGCAGATGTAATACCTCTAAATGCATGTTGAAAAGAACACATTGGGGATATTATATGGAATACATTTTCCCAGCTTGTCTTATCAAAAGATGGAAGCAGAATTCAGTTAATGAAACATTGTGGTTTTTTTATTTAGATGATGAATAAGGCCTATGAAAACAATTCTACAGCCTCTTTCCACATTGGTATACAAAATGCATTGTTGGATGAGTAAGTGATGCATATTTGTTCTGCAACGTGATGTTGGTCATACCTACTGCAAACTGCAGATGAATTACTGCATGCTGATGCTGTACTGTGGAAGCCAGATGAACATTCAATTATACCTGAGGCCCAAAGCAGCCAGGACATTGAACAGAATGTTTCTTGGAACATGCTGCCTCCATACCATTTTGTATATGCTTTCTCTGGCATTGCTGTCGACTACGAGTACCTCCTGCCACAAAAATCTTGGTGAGATGCCCTAAAGGTGTTTACGTCAGATTGTCTCATTGCTGAAAAACTAGGTTTCTCATTAATATCAGGAAAAAAAGTGTGGAATAAATTAGTGTGTTTGCTTTCATTAGCTATAGTACTAATGTGTTTTTATTGATCACAAGGAATGTAGCATCTCATACAACCACATCTTTTATTTACAATTTTACAGGTGAATATTGATGTAATCAAATCAGAAAGTGATCTGATATTCTGAGCGAAGAACTTTCCATTGACATGAATACTGATAAGTTTTACATGTCATCAACATTTTCCTTAAAAATGCCTAAAACTGAGGTGAGCCTTGACTTATTTATGTTTATGTGCACATTCCCACATGTGGAAAACAGATCATTTATAAAGTGACATGTAATTCAAAGAATGCTCACAGTAATTTAATTTGCATGAAAGAACACAACAAAGACTTTCTATTGCAAACAAGTGAAAGAAACGTTACTCCAGCATGTGTAAATAAAGTCATAACATTCAATGATAACATAATCACATATACACGGTGTGTCCCAAAAATTTTGAGACAGATTTAATTACCCACGAAGGGCTGGCTCCATCTGTTGAGTTTGTTCCTGAGAGCGCAACTGTTGGTGTAAATTATTACTTGGAAGCCGTTGTCGTTCACGAGTTTTTGACAACCTGAGGTGTTGTGGTTGTTAATTACTTGCCTGATTTGTCAACTTCTGACTATTTTTTGTTCCCTAAATTAAAATTTAAAATGAAACGCATACGTTTTGATTACACTGAAGACAATCAGAAAGCTGCGGCCGACTTCCTGGAGGCTATCCCTAAGAAGGACTTTCAGCAATGCTTTGAAAAGTTTTATGATTGTTACAAGTGAATTGCTGTAGATGGATGTGCAATATAAAATGTAATTACTTGAAGATAAGCATGCTTTTAAGCCAGTCTGGAATATTTTGGGACGCACTGTGTACAACATACTGAACTAAGTCTAGTCATGTTGTGGGGTAAGTGTTGTGTTCAGTGAAGCTTGTATAATCAGTCTAAATGTTTTGGATTTCAGCATTGTGCTGTCATTCAGTTTTTGTGGTTAGAGGGATTAAGACTCAATAAGATTCAAAAGAAGAATGTTAGCACAATACTGAGTAAACTGTACTGCACAAATGAAGGTTTACCAGTGAGTGGAAAGATTCCAAAGTGGCAGGACAAATGTCATTAAATAAGACTGTTCAGACTGCCCGACCATTTTATGAATGACGGACAGTGTTAAATAGGTTTTTTCTCTGGTTAAAGAGGGCTGATGGATTACTAATATGATATAGGGGATAAGTTGGACATCAGCTGTGGATCGGCATATTCCATATGGTACATATGTTGCTTCACGTTCAGCCGAAAACATTTTTCACCTGTGGCATCAGGATTCTTGTGGGCCAAAGTAACATCTG